TAATATGATGATATCTTCATGTAATTAATTGGGGGTGGTGGTGATGAAAATGTTCCTTTGGGGAAAGAGATTTTTATAATCCAAACAGCATTAAGCCAATCAGAAAATTTAATTTAATTTAATATCCTTGTTTGATTTTTCAGTGGAAATTGGCAAGGTAGAATTCCTACCATTTTGGAGTTGCAATACTGGATGGGAATCCTGGGATTCAGAAAAGTGGGGAGGGAGAGATAGAACATTTAGTTTTGGGCACAGTGTGCCAATTGGCAATTTGGATGTTGGTTGTGGAGTTTTACACCACTATAGTTTTAGTACTTCTTTGCACTAACGGAAAGCAAAATTGATATCTTATAATAAATGCAAGAAGGGATTGAAATGCAGAAAGGGATTCTTAAACCAGCTTCATTTTCAGGTGCATTAGCACCTGAGGTTTGCAATCAAAGAAAATCTCCAAATGTGCCAAGTTATTTTAGAGTTAAGATTATATTAATATAATGAGACATTAATCTTCTTTAGTTCAATTATCATTAGACTTTTCATTTTATATGTGAAAAAGTTGACGGGCCAAAAATACCCATTTGCAATCAAGGGAACACTTTTTCCCCGGGAAGCAGATTTTGAGGGGTTTTTTAAATGTCAATCCTTTCCCCTACTTGCTCTAGAATGACCAATGGGAAGGACTGATGGAAGTTGCAGTTCAATAGTATCTAAAAAGTCAGAGGTTTCATGCTGTGCTACAATTTCTGTCAGATGCTTTAAAGCCAGGGTGGGATTCAAATTTTTTAACAACCGGTTCTGTAGACGTGGCTAGGTGGACGTAGCTTCTTTTTTGCAGCAATCCCCCATTTTTTTGCCTCCTAGGCCTCAGGCAAGCTTCCTGGGGGGGGGGCGTTTTTGCTCCCAGAAGGCTTCCCTGGGGCCCAGGAAGGCAAAAAACGGAGCATGGGGGGTGCACAGCACCCCACCCCCACCTCCCACATGCCCCTTTTTGCTTCCTGGGCCTCGAGGAAACCTCCTGGGTGAAGCAGTACGACAGCGAGGGGGATGTTCAATGAAAATTCCAGGACTTTTAAAAATCAATTTTCAGATAAATACAACGCTTCACAAACTGTAGCACAGGATTACTGAAATTGGACATTTTAAAAATATTTTAAAAATTTAAACAAAAACACCTTTGTCAAAAAAAAAAGTACTGTATGTTGGTACCTGGATGTGGGAAGCCCCCACTCTAGATAATGAAATATTTGGAGAATATTAAAAGAGGAAGAATATTAAAAGAGGAATATTATATTTCCCCGAAGGAAAAATGGAGAAACATGTTATTGAAGGCAGAAAACAGCCCCAGTCTTCCGGCCATAGGAAAACAGCCTCAAGGAGAGACTAGTCTTTTGGAATGGAGATTATGTATCCATTCTATTTATAAACAAAACCACTTAATCACAAGCTCCCACAGAAAGCTGGAGCTAATGGGATTTTAAAAAAATTCTAGAAAAAGACTCCTAAAATTGTACATTCCCCCATCCAAATTCTAAGGACAGGACATTACTTTTAGGACATAATAGGATTTACCCATCACCACTAGAATAGCAAAAGACACAAGGCTCACTACATTGTACAACCTCCTGGAGCATCTCAATTACCAAACCCCAGACTTATAAATATCCACTCACTGATATTTCTCCCCCCCCCCGACGATCAGCTGTTCTGATGATCAGCTGTTCCGGAATCCCCCTCTCTTACTGCTTTGCCCAGAAGTTTCCCTGGGGCCCAGGAGGCAAAAAAATGTAGCACGGGATGGTGGTGGTGCACGCACCCCGTGCTCTGTTTTTGGCCTCTTGGGTTTCAAGGAAGCCTCCTGGGAGCAAAAATGGCCTCCCAGAAGGCTTCCCTGAGGCCCAGGAGACAAAAAAACACAGCACGAGATGGGGTGTGCTGCAAAAAAATAAAAGCCATGCCCACCCAGTCACATGGTCACGCTCACCTAGCCATGCCCACAGAACTGGTAGCAAAAATACACTGCTCAAAAAAATAAAGGGAACACAAAAATAAGACATCCTAGATCTGAATGAATGAAATATTCTTATTAAATACTTTGTTCATTACATAGTTGAATGTGCTGACAACAAAATCACACAAAATTTATCAATGGAAATCAAATTTAGCAACCCATGGAGGTCTGGATTTGGAGTTACACTCAAAATTAAAGTGGAAAAAAACACTACAGGCTGATCCAACTTTGATGTAATGTCCTTAAAACAAGTCAAAATGAGGGTCAGTAGTGTGTGTGGCCTCCACGTGCCTGTATGACCTCCCTACAATGCCTGGGCATGCTCCTGATGAGGTGGCGGATGGTCTCCTGAGGGATCTCCTCCCACACCTGCACTAAAGCATCCCCCAATTCCTGGACAGTCTGTTGGTGGATGGAGTGAGACATGATGTCCCAGATGTGCTCAATTGGATTCAGGTCTGGGGAACGGGCGGGCCAGTCCATAGCATCTGTTAGGGATAACATTGTTTACCCTAACTGGTTTGGGTAAAAATAATAAATACGGTATCATGGTTTGTTAGTTAAAGTGTGTGTAACTTTAACTGCAATAATGTAATTAAGGGTGTGGTTGTAAAAGCACAATATAAGAAGCGAGGCAATTGCAGCTCGCTCTCTCTGGCTTACTGATCCCTAATTACTGGATGGATTGATGACTGCGTTCTTGCTGGAACGGGGAGAGAAAAAGGAGTGTTGATTTTCTCAACGGAGAGAAGATAAAGATTGGACTGATTTATTGTAAGTGAACTGACATTGGCTATTCAACACGGACTTTGCAAATAGAGTATCCCCGACAAGACTTGACTGAAATTGATATATGACTAATGGACCGTTTATTTTGACTATGCTATAATTCTTTAATGGAATAAACTATATTTTTGATAGCACAAGCGTATCTGTATTTTTACTGCATGTTAACTAAAAAACTTATCTCACACATTTACCTGTCTGCCTATCTGACTTCACTGCACGTTCTGTTTAGTTTGTTTTCCTTAACACCCGTTGGGGAATCCAGGCTTAACAGCACCAATGCCTTTGTCTTGCAGGAACTGCTGACACACTCCAGCCACATGAGGTCTAGCATTGTCTTGCATTAGGAGGAACCCAGGGCCAACCGCACCAGCATATGGTCTCACAAGGGGTCTGAGGATCTCATCTCGGTACCTAATGGCAGTCAGGCTACCTCTGGCGAGCACATGGAGGGCTGTGCGGCCCGCTAAAGAAATGCCACCCCACACCATTACTGACCCACTGCCAAACCGGTCATGCTGGAGGATGTTGCAGGCAGCAGAATGTTCTCCATGGCATCTCCAGACCCTGTCACGTCTGTCACATGTGCTCAGTGTGAACCTGCTTTCATCTGTGAAGAGCACAGGGCACCAGTGACGAATTTGCCAATCTTGGTGTTCTCTGGCAAATGCCAAACATCCTGCACAGTGTTGGGCTGTAAGCACAACCCCCACCTGTGGACGTCGGGCTCTCATACCACCCTCATGGAGTCTGTTTCTGACCGTTTGAGCAGCCACATGCACATTTGTAGCTCTCTGGAGGTCATTTTGCAGGGCTCTGGCAGTGCTGCTCCTGTCCCTCCTTGCACAAAGGCAGAGGTAGCGGTCCTGATGCTGGGTTGTTGCCCTCCTACGGCCTCCTCCACGTCTCCTGATGTACTGGCCTGTCTCCTGGTAGTGCCTCCATGCTCTGGACACTACGCTGACAGACACAGCAAACCTTCTTGCCACAGCTCGCATTGATGTGCCATCCTGGATGAGCTGCACTACCTGAACCACTTGTGTGGGTTGTAGACTCCATCTCATGCTACCACTAGAGTGAAAGCACCGCCAGCATTCAAAAGTGACCAAACCACCAGCCAGAAAGCATAGGAACTGAGAAGTGGTCTGTGGTCACTACCTGCAGAACCACTCCTTTATTGGGGATGTCTTGCTAACTGCCTATGCTTTCCACCTGTTGTCTATTCCATTTGCACAAGCATGTGAAATTGATAGTCAATCAGTGTTGCTACCTAAGTGGACAGTTTGATTTCACAGAAGTGTGATTGACTTGGGGTTACATTGTGTTGTTTAAGTGTTCCCTTTATTTTTTTGAGCAGTGTATTTCCATCCCACCCCTGGGCCTGTCACAGAGAAAAAGATATCGACTTATTGCATAAGTTCGAATACGCTCGTAACCTGGGGATTACCTGTACAAAAATGTTTTAGGCTTTTGGCAATGGAGAGAAAAAAGCTATAATGTTATGGAACTATAATGTTCAGTCATGTTGTTGAACACTGGCTTCATTATGAGTACTTGTGGTGTAAATCAGGGGTCTCCAGCTTTGGCAACTTTAAGACTTGTGGACTTCAACTCCCAGAGTTCCTCAGCCAAGGAACTCTGGGAGTTGAAGAAGTCTTAAAGTAGCCAAGGTTGGAGACCCCTTGTGTAAATGACTTCTGCTAGTGTAAAAACAATTTTAAAATCCTGGATTTCAGCATAGCAAAACTAGCAGAAAAAGTAGGTCCTTGTCCATTTTTAAAACGTCTATGTCATGAAACATAGTTTGAGCCTTGAGTAATATTGGTAACACAAGTCAATTGATCCAAGACTTTTGAAAGCAAGGCTATTTCTTTGAGAAATTTTGCTGGAAACGGAGCAAAAAATATTTACAACGGTTTAAAAACTGCATTTAAACATACCTTTTTCAAACGAAAGGGAAAAAATGAATGAGATTTTTTTTTGGCTTTCAATAGTTGTGTTGATTAGGTCGCTTCATTTTCGATCCCGGAAAGGAAAAAACAAAGGGAACTTGGAAGTTTCGTCCCCAGTCTTTCTACTAGATCTATCTCTATAACAACAGTACCTGTTCAACCAAAGATAGGCGGCTTCCCGCTTTCTCGTGTTTGAGGAGCCTATTTTATAGAGCGCGATGACGACACAGTGGGCGTGGTGTAAATACCGAACTACAAGGAAGCAGTAAGCTGTGCCAGGCCGGCGCAGCGGTTCATAGTGGAGTTAACCGTTGGTGAGGGAGTCCTACTGCGAGCGCCAGGTCTCCGAAGTAGCAAGGCACTTTCAGTTTTGGCCACTACTGCTCTGCTGGTTCTACTCGCTGAAGTTTGAAGTCGGGTCATCTACGGGCGCGGGCCTTGCCAATCCAGTGCAATGGAGAGCGGCGGGAACGCGTCCGGGTCCGTGCGTGGAGCCGGTCGAGAAAAGAAGAAAGGCAAGAATGCTGACGAGCCTTCGGTGACTGCGGCAGCAGGAGAGCCAGGTGGAAGCGGCGGCGGCGGCGGGAAACCGCGGAAATTCGTAAGTAGTCTTGAGAGAGAGGGAGGCCACCTGCCTTATTGCAGAGCGATTTGGGTACTCCTTAGGCGGAGCTGACCTACCTGCCTTTTCTTTGGTTCCCTGCGCTGGTAAATTGGAAGCTTGGCCTTGCATACGGGTGCAGACATTGTCCCATCAGTTTCTTGACGGAGCGAAGCAGGAAGTTTCCTTTCCTCATGGGTCCGTCCAATAGCGGAGTCTGAATTCTGGCTGCCTGGATATGATTCAGGCCTCGGTTCACGCCTTGCCTCACCAACTCTTTTGGAAAGTTCGCGTTTGTAGGGTTCTTGGGCTGTTCCTTGATTAACTTTAAGCCGAATCTTCACTTAATTTTTTTTTATGGCATGTAACATTTGTAATTTGCACCGTTCAATTTTGTTTTAAACTCAGGAATATCATGCCTGGATTAAGATCCATTGCAAAAGTAAACATACATAACAGGTTGTGACCTTTATTCGCATTTTTAGCCAGCAGTAAATTCTCCTTCCAGAGTGCTCTGAAGCTGTTCTTAGAGTACTTTTGAAGGGATCAGGGCAGATTAGAATATAAGAGTTTAGTCAGGCAAGATCCAGTTTAGTTCAGCATTTGGTTTCCAATAGGAGCCAGCCAGATGCCTCCAGTTCCTCCAAGAAAGATGCCGGAAAAATACCTTTCCCTTGCAACGTATATTTTGAAGCAAATTATCTTCAGCCTGAAAATAACTCTTTGATTCCTCTTTAATAAAGTTGGCCTTGTTGAATCATGCAATCCCTTTTAAAAGCTGTCCAAGTTAGGGATCATCATATATCTTGAGGAAATGAATTTCACAACTATCTGTTCCATGTTTTCTAATTAGCTTCACTGATCAACTTGTCTTAGTGTTTATTGTTTATTCAATTTGTATTCTGCCTTTATTTTGTGCAACTCAGGGTTGTGTCTATAATGCTCCCTTCCAATTACAATCCTGTGAGATGGGTTGAGCGAGAGACAGCAATTGAATTAAAACCACCCAGCTTCCTTCTGCGCCTCATAGAATCTACAACTCATAATCTCCCAGTTTCTAGTCCAACTCTAACTGGTATGACAGGTTGCCTTTCTAGGTGGCAGGGGAATTCACCATGTTCACTTTTTAATGTCATGAATAGTTTAATATAACTCATTCATGTCTCCTCAGTTGCTGTTTTCTCGCACCTCAGATCCTGGTTCCTTGCCTTTTCTTGAAGGGACGTTTGGAGTCCTCTGATCATTTTGGTTGCAATCTTTTGCAGCTGAATTATATTGTTCAAATGTAACCATTTGAGTTAACCATTTTAACTGCATTGAGATGTAGATATACCATACATTTGTATAAGATGCTTTATTTTTCAATGCATTCAATGCATTTCTAAAGTTCTCCAGTATAGAATAGTTTTTTCACAGCTGATGAACACCAAGCTGATATTTTCATTGTCCTATTGCTCTGATTTCCAGTTCTTTTTTCCAGTTACTGTATTTTTCAGTGTATAAGATGCAGTTCCCACTCCCAAAAGTGGGTAGAAATGTCTGTGTCTTATACAGCAAATGGTGCTGAAGCCCCGCCTACCCACTGGCCCCCACCCTTCGGTCTCTGCCTCCTAGCAATTGCCCCTTGCAGCAAACAGCCTGGCCAGCTTCAGCACAGCCTGATTTGGCACAAGCAGCAGATGGTTGGTTGGATTGACCTGCCGACTGTCAGCTGTTTTCAGCCTCCACGCGCTCCATTTTTGGCCTGTTCCGATCCCTGCACCTGGAATAGGCTGAAAATGGGGTGCACAAAGGCAGCAGTAGGTGATGGCAATCCCTGCAACCTGAAACAGCTGATTGTCAGGAGGCTGATCCAACCCACAGTCAGCTGCTTGTGCTAATCAGGCTGTGCTGAAACTAAAACAGGCTGTTTACTGTCAGGAGGTAAATTGCTGGGTGACAGAACTTTATTTGTTTCTAGGTGTTCGCAGATCTGTTTTTTGATTATCTTTTTGCAGGATCTTTCCAGATATTGATGTTAGACTGATTGGTCTGTAGTTTCCTGGGTCTATTTTTTCCTTTCTTGAAAATAAAACCACATCAGCCCCTTTCCAATCCTCAGGTACTTCCCCATTGCTCCAGGATTTTCGAAAGATATGGTACAATGGTTCCGAGATAAAATC